ACACACAAGCTTTGCTGAGCCTATGAGGACCACAGATGGAAATTAGCTATTAGCTATAATCTGGCATATTGCATCTATTCTCTTTGCTGAGATTAATGTTTTTGTATGCATGGTCCGAAGAACGTCTGTTGGTTGATCTGTATAGCCTATAGGCTTCTGCTTGTAATGGATCAGAGTTTATGTTCAAATGAATGGTTTACTGTCGTCCAATACATTTGACCAACAAGAATGTGATCCAAGTGGTTGTGTGATCAGGGGGTTTCATCTGTAATGCTGTTTTGCCAGAATGTCAAGTTATACGAGAGTTATACGGTGCAGGGTTTTCTTCATGGCTATTTGTTCTGTCTGCATTTACATCTTGATGAGCATAACTTAGCATTTATCTTGATTCATATCCTTTGCTTTTTGTTAGAATCTCTTGAGTGCCATCAAATATTAAGGACGTTTCATTAGCAGATCATGCTGTGAGGCTTACGGTCTTGTTAGATTAAAGCATTGATGGATTCCTGTTCATATTCCAGTCCATTGTTCTGCTCAAAGGCTTGTCGCTGTTTGTGATGGCTTCTCCTTGATGACATAATGATCAGTTGTCTGCTTTTAGCGGGAAAAACCTTTAGCAGCAAGGCCTGTGACAGTCATGTTTTGCTGTTAATGGTACGTTATTTTTGATTGGCTACATCTAACAGTTTTTGTCAAACAGGCCCACCCAGTCACAGCCCACGCTGTAGGTGTCTGACTTTACATACAGTAAGTATATCCATCTTTGTGAAAACTTGGTCAAACTGGATGATACATCTGTTTACTGGCTTTTAATGTATTTACTATGTGTCTCTTTAACTCTCTCTGAACCTGACATGTAATACTTTTGAAAGCTTTGGCATTGTTTGGCTTTTATCAGCCATTATCCTTGGGCTAAACACTTAGTATCAGATCAAGATTTAAATGTGTTGTTGATCCCTAACTAAATAAAGATAATATTATTTCATAAATGTCTTAATATTGTTTCCAGCTGCGAGCTTAGTCTTTGAATGTCTGATATCCTGACAGTAAAAAGACTTAATACACGAGAATGTTTCAAATCAAAAGTTGTGGTCTATGCTTATTTGTTTCATCTAGAGAGTAACATATAATTAGTATCAATCTGTTGTTGTGCATACATTAAGTATCTGGAGTCACAATGTGTAAAATATTTTTTTTAAAACAAGTAGGTGGCTAGCTTTACTGTGTCAAAAGTGAAAGACAACAGCTGACAAACATCGTCTGTCCCTACACCCACACGCCAACATCTTAATTGGGTTGTTTGCGTCTGACAATTTCAATCAATCTAAAATTCACGCCCACCACGCAGAGTGACTGGCCTGAAGATGAGAAAGTTGGTGTACAAGCTTTACACAATAATGTATACTACATTGGATGTGTACAACTAAGTGCAACACAAAACATTCCTTCAAGAAAAGTCAAAAAAGCCACCATGCCAGCTCACATAGTGCCTTTGCGTGTGGATTCTCTGAGCAACAACAACTTTCCCTTCAAGTATGGCCAGATAACATGCCTTACAAACTATTTTGGCCAGCCTCATTGTCTAATTGATTTTCAGGTTTGGTACCATATAATTGGTAATTATTTGTTGTTTTCAGCAACATTTACATTCCATTTCCAATTGGTAAATGTTTTCAAAATCGTTGGATCTACTGTTGTTCACAAATACTGGGTAAGATCTGTTCCAATGCATTAAAATTCTTCGGGAAATTGCTCTGCAAAGCAGTGTATTCACAAGGCCTCAGCAGACAGAAACATCTGTCGGTGAAGATAAGACTCCTTATGGGCAATCAAGTGAGCAACAACAAAGAGCAATGACTGTCTGAGGGGCGAGGACTGTGGTTTCATCTTTGCTGTAGATCACCTGCGTCTACTGACAGAGGACAGGGACATCTAGCTGCAGGACACCAGCATACACACAGTGTCCCTTACCACAAGGAACGACGTGTACTTTAGGTGGATATCAAAATCCTGCTGTAAAATATACTGTATAAAAACACCTTTGTTCCTTTTACATTTTTCCTAAAACTTTCCTCAAAAGAGATTCAATTAAGTTGTGATGTTATGGGCTGATAAACAGGGGAACTGGATTTGGATCTTGCTTACGTAACGGCTCGAGACAAACCACGCGATTAGGAACACGCAAACCGAAGTCCGTACTGAAGGGACCAAAGATCTGTGAAACTCGTCTTCTACATGTTTCTTATCTTTGGCTGATAATGAATCCAAAGCTATAAGGTCTTTGGGGACGCAGATAGTGGCGTGAAGACTTCAGTTTATTTGGAGAGAGGAATTTGAGTCATGTCTCTGTCCTGGAGGCTTCGTGTTGGTGATGTGTTGTAATGCCTGAAGGCCTCCTTGTACATCTGATAGCATTGATAGTGCTCTGCCAGTAAATGCTCACTATAACATCAATCCAGGTCCCTTTGGCCCAGTTGCTCTAAACACATTTACTCTTATCGTCACTCAGCGAGCTGGTTATGCTGCTATCCTTACACTCAATGTCGCTCTCTGTATACTTCAGGCTGGCGTGTAGCCTGGTCATAATGTGGGTTAAGGACAGAGAAATAGGGCATATAAAAAGTACATCAATAAAAAGGTCTACATCAAAACACAACGGAGGGGGTTTGTCTAAATTAAGCATGATTTAAGTGGTTAATTACAAAAGTCCTGTACTTGTTATTTTGAATGTAATTCTTCCAACAAATAGGTTCGATTTCATGTGAGATTAAAGTGAAGAGGATTGTTTCTTAAGTGTCCGTGTAATTAGATCTTTGTTTTTAAATGAGAGCAATTTATCAAGTGTAGTTATCCTTGAAATGAAATCAGATGTGGTTGCCTCAGGCTAAATCTAAAGAGAAATGATATGGGAAGCTGATAATAAAATGAGCTGGTCTTGTCGTTGCTGTTAAAATAGTAAGATATTGATACTGACAAACATTTTGGCTTCGAGTGGTTACAGGGGAGACTAACACATTGTTTGTGGGATACTTTACTTTGCAATGGGTGCAAAATCATCCATGAACGCCAAACTCAAGCAGATTAGATCGAATTATGAATCTCTAGTTTGTGTAAAAAATACGTCGAGATTTGTCAACCGACCAAAGAAACCAGGTTATGATTTAAAAAGAACTAGAGACCAGTTTGTGATGGGATCACACAAGACGCAACGACCAATTAGGCCAAAGGTGTAAAAATGGCATTTCCTAGTGGCCTACTTCCAGCGTCCTTGATAAAACCAAACCAATTTTTGATATCGTCATTCAATTCGATCTCAACGAAACACCCGTAATGTTTTGTGCATCTTGCAAGGTTTTGGAGCAGACAGACATAACACTGGGCAAAGTGGTGTGTAGGGGTAGTTCCACTTCAGCAGGTGTCACTAGCATCACATGTTGCCATGTTGACACACAAAGTATAGCCACTTGGCACATGTGAAGGTGGGCTGGAAGATGACTGTCATAGATGGCAAGAGGTTATCATCATTTAAATACGGGATGACAAACAACTCGACTGGAAGTCAATCATTATGAGGCTCTTGTTGGTACACATCACACATGTTAGAAAAGAGAGCTTGTCTGAGAACTTCACATCTTTTAATAATTCCCTCGTCGTGCCAATCTCAGCTTGGAGTGGACTGATTGTCAGTTACAGAAAGTTGCGCAAAAGTTGGAGGGGAGGTTGTTTTAAAGGCAATTTGAGCATTATTAGCACTTCTAACCTAATCAACTCAAAGCCCATCCCTACAGCTTAGTGATGTATTGTTTCTGCACGTGTAGTACAGAGAACTGTTGCTGTGGTGGGGGATTAACTTTTGGATGTTTTTTTGTTCTCTTGAGACAGCACACATTATTAAATTAATCACAGAGAAATGCTAAGAACTTTCGTTTCCAGGTCAGATGTTTTTGGCTGAAGCCATGTTTTCTTGGCTGTCTTCACATACAGTATACCCTTTCGATCCACATCATTCAAACAAGACCTGTCACATGATGTACCATCTGTTCCTCTCAGCTTCAATGGTTTGGACTGTACTTGCTTTTAATGCTACATATAGCAGCCTAGTTTAAACCTGAACTTGTGTTAGGTAAATGTAGAGAATGTAGGGTTACTGAGTGAACGCCTGTAATTATGGGGCCGAGGTAGTGAACAAGCCTTAGTTTGAATGATATTGTTTTTGGGTTTAACTGAATTCTCAAATTAGGGATATATACTGTATATTCTAAACATGCAAAGGAAAAGAAGCAGGTCACCTTGTAAGAAAGTATTTTTTTGTATGTGTTACGATGTGTATGCATTGTTAGATTCGTCATTTCCATCAAACAAAAAAACAAACATTTAGGCCGCTCTAATCAATATTACTATTTTAACAAAGGATCCAATGACTAAATGTATGTAAAAAGTGTCAATATGTCAGTTTTGTGCTAAAGGAAATATCCACTAACAAAGGTTTAATGAAAAACTAAACCAGATGAGATACACTTGATTAGCACCCTCAGCATGGTTGTATGTGACAATTCATTTTAAAAGTCCAATAGTAATACTGGTTACTGTTTTGAGCACGTTGGCTAGTTGTGTAGAGTCTGTAAAGTTTATTTATTTTGCTTCTTTCTTGTTTTTCTGGAAAACTACGCTCATGATAGCTGACGACAGTAGGCTCAAGAGGACATAAAAGAGTTTAGGAGGTGAAGCAAGAGACTGTTGACTAAGTTGGCCTCCCTCTCTCACGCTGAGTCTTGGCATTGCTCCTGTGCTCATATCTCGCCGTAAGCAGGAGGATTTGTTGTCCCCTGCTGAGCCGAACCCCATGCAGGATCTGTCTTGAAGGACCCTATTGTTAACAGTCTGTCTCTGCAGATCTACTGAAGTTTTCCTTTGAGTTAGGTGTAACCATCAAGCTGGAGCATACTGTTTATACTTCTGATTTGAAAGACAGCCAGTGATAGTGATTAAATAAACACACTATGGTAGTGGAACTTTCACAAGCTCAATGATTTGCCGGGATGCATGCTCAATGTATTCTGTGCGTCACGCTTAGCATGTGTCCGCTCTACTGTCCAAGTCCCTTCACAAACTTCCTCTGGGCCGCACAGCCAATCTTCACAGAAGCTAAGGGAAGAGCTGGCTGGCTTTGAAGTGTAAACAGATGGAGCTTTTTCATGCACTTCAAGGAGTTTATGTAAACACATTTATAGTGAAAGCATTTATGGTTGCATTCAGTGATTGCCCCCCCTCTTTGTGTGGATTCTGGTGCATTTGTTGCATGGGGATATCATGAGATTTAGAGTGCCGCTGTTTGTTTTCAGCAAAACTGTATCAGATATAAGTGTCAAGATGAAAGAAAAAGTCAACAAATGAACTAAGCAAACATAGATGGCTTTTTGGATACAGTAGCTGTATATACATGCAGATGTTATCTTATTGCAATCGTAAATGTAGCCTTAACAAATAATTAAATAGTAGCATCTATCCATGTAACAGTGATTAAGATCACAGCCGACTTTTACCATAGCTTGTTTTATGCTATTAATTTGTTTTTTGGGAATTTCATTGGTATGACGCTTTACGAACAGGATATTTTGGACTGCTGATTCGTGATAAAGTCCTTAAAGGTAAACTATTATGCAAAATTCACTTTTCATGTCTCTTCTACATCAACATGTGTCCTCTCTGTGGAAAGAGATTCTGAACGTTTCAGGAAAAAAGATTCTCTCACTTTTTGTCCTGATCCATTTATATAAAAACCTGTCTGACTTTATGATGTCATAACGATTTATGATGTCACTTTATGATGTCATAACGATTTATGATGTCACTTTATGATGTCATAACGATTTTTTGGCTTGTGTAACCTTTGGCCAATAACCCTTTTCCTACGGTTGTATTAAATGTTAATCATGCAATGGGCCGTACAGTAAAATGAATGACTCTGAGATCACTCACTCATAAAACTCTGCTGCCGGGGTCATCTTGTACTTGGAGTAGGACCCGTTGCCAAGGAGGGACCCGTTGACAGCTTTGGGGTCGGTGCAGTTCAGGCTGTTCCAGATGTTTCCACATAACAGCCACGGCAGATCCCTGGTCATGGAGGAGTACAGGTAGTAGAGGGACCAGGCGATGATGACATTGTAGTAGAAGCCAACATACAGGGCTATGATGATCACAGTGTAGCCCACACCTGAGGAACACAGAGGTATTAGTGAGGAGGAACAAAAACATTTCTTACAGTCACAAAGTGCAAGTTCACTTAAAGGTCACCTATTATGCAAAATCCACTTTTTCGTGAATTTTTTCAATTTCTTTTTTCGTCTCCTCTGTGTGAAGAGATTCTGAAAGTTTCAGGAAACAATATTATTTTTGTCCCGATCCATTTATATGAAAACCTGTCGGAAAATTAGCTGATCAGATTTTGGCCACTTTATGATGTCATAACGATTTTTTTGGCAAACACTTCAGAGACATGTTTTGTATATATCTGAGACCTATTATATATTGATAAAAAACAGTATAATAAGGGACCTTTAATGCAAACTGAAGTGGACCACAGGTGCAACATTTAGATGAATTTAGATTTTATAGTCAGCATTCTGAGAATAAAGTAATATTTTATTGTAAACTATTTCTGAGTTCTTGAATGGATTTGGAATTTTTGCTTTTTTTGCTGTTATAAAGAATACAACGTTGCCTACAGTTAATTGTTGTCGGTATACTGAAAAAACTGAAGCATTGGCTTTAATGAAATGTTTTATGTCAACACATTTCACATCACTGTATTAGGTTAGTTGAAAGCAATAATATTAAGTTGAATCAATTTAAACTTAAGAATATTGCTTTCAACTAACCTAATACAGTTATGTGAAATCTGTTGACATAATACATTTCATTAAAGTCAATGCTTCAGTGTTTTCAGTGTATATTGTTGCCATTTTTGCCTTTAATCTGACGCCTTGTGCTCCTTACGACATACAACTGAAGAAAAGGTCGTCTACCGATCAGAGGGTCAGCGGTTCAATCCCAAGCCCCCGCAGTCCACATGTCCTTGGGCAAGATAGTTAACCCCAAATCAAGTATGTAAGTCTCTTAGGATAAAAGTACCGGCTAAAAAACATGTTATATAATGTTTTCAGTCCGATTCATCACCATGAGGTAGGTACACATATCTTTCCCTCAGCAGAGCAGTGAAGGGAACATTCACATCGTAATTCATCAAACTTACTATTCACACATTTTCACTGAGAGCTGCTATTCAACATTTGGCACAAGTAAATGATGGGATGAGTGGTTGTTTTTGTCTCCACTGGAATGTTATATCTTCATGTGAAGACAGAGAAGCCGTTAATCTCGGTGCTGAAGCCAATAAAACATTGAGAGGTGGGTCAATAGTGCAGACTCACACGGGTACTTATCTGACTTATCTGACGTTTTCAACGTGACACTTAAAATAATAACAATCTGTTGTTTAAACCACCACACTTCTAAGAAGAAGTCAGGCTGGTGTGCAGCTGTAAAACGCAGCAAGGTTTGCTTTACTCCTTTCTCAAGTCGACATTTGAAAACAATAGACAGGGGTATAAGGTTGAAAGGGATCATGAACATACAGAGAGGTGAAACGGAGAAAGAGGTGAAGATACAGAGAGATTAGTCACAAGTGACACTTCTGAACCTTTGAGGGTTAAAGGACAAGAACAAAGGGATGAAATAAAAGGGCAAGACACTGAAGAGAAGCAAAGAAAAGGAGGATGACTGCTTTATGCAGCACTGTTTAAGAGGTTAGACAGGCAGGTTCACATGTGTGTTACAGCTCACCTTTAAAGGCAGGGCAAATCTTCCAAACTGTAGCTGCCCCTTCCCTGTTGTACTGGCCCAAGGCAAGCTCCATGTAGAACAATGGCATCCCCGCAATGACCAGGAAAAGAATGTACGGGATCAAAAAGGCACCTGGAAAGAGAAATAATTACATTTCATGCTTACATGTCGTATGTATTTGTATTTAATCGCTCATATGTCTTTTGTTTTGCTTACAGTAAAACACTGATACAGGATAGGTGTATAATGAAGATATAAATGCTATACTAAAGTGGTGGTTTGGGGACTTGACATTGTTGGAAAAAACAACATTTCATGCGAGCAGGAAGGCTTACAGCTATTTTCATGCTGTGCCTCAGTTGACTGTCCACCAACAAGGAAATGACCCCCTGTAATTTAATTGTTCTGGACACTGTCCATCACAAATGACACTTTATCTACACTAATGAATACATTTTGCTGAGGGCCAGTATGATTGACAGGCCAGAGGTGGAGCTAACCCTGTGGGCACAACATGTTGATTTTGGCCATGTGAGAGGACACATATCAGCCCTCTGTTGATGGTGAAACAATACAAGACAATCTTTTATTGATTCAACTATACAGCCTCTTCCTCTCACTGTGGTGCAGCTGCAGTGTTTAGTCATTTAGAAAACAGTGAAAGTTGGCAATCCTCCACACTTATTTTTTAATTGTAGGTAAGAGCAGGAAAAGAAACCTTACAGTGTATTATAAACAGTTTTAGCAAATATGCTGATGATGCTAAATCATTTCATGAATCATCTGACAGTGTGAAACAATACAAAAGAGAGTTTGTTGTATCTACACGAGAGATAGACGATATGGCGATATACCGTATATCGTCAACACAATCTAATAGCGTCTATTATATACTTTTAGTTTCTTCAATGTCCTACAGATACATTACCAGGTCTTTATTTGTAAAGAAATGTTTCCCTTCAAACTTTAATTCATTCACATGGAGTATACAATACGCTTTACTGTTAAGTTCCTATATGAAGACTATTTATTTATCGAATATATAGAAAAACATTATCATTATCTGTTGATATCAGTTGAGAATAATCTACATTGTGATAGATGATTTTGACCATTTCGCCAAACACATGATTTTGTGAATGTCATATTTTCTTTATCATATCTACATCAACACTGTCTTCTTATCTAATAAATATTTCCAATAACTGAAAGTGGTATAACATTAAAGCAACTTTAATGCATCCATCCATTCAACTGCCTGTTTACAGTGTGGGCTGGAGCCGATCCCAGTTTACAAGTTGCAATTTAAAAATAACAACATAGTTAATTTATTAATATTATGATCGTTTTCGTCATATTTTTTAACACTTGAAAGAAACACAGAAACAGAAACACTTCAAAACCACCTGTTACTTTTTCCCGCCTCACTACTGCGCACCTTAGTTTTTAAGGGTGGTTATTTCTTAACCAAAAATCCAGGCACTTGCATTTGTAAGCTGTATTATTTATATGTGTGGATACATTGGGAGTTGTAAAAAAATTAATACAATTAATCTGGCAAGACATCATCCCTTTCAACTCTCTGACTGTTTCTATGTGCACGCCTTGATGAAATGAGGAATTTCCTTCTTCATGTAAGCTATAGTAAATTCACTTCCACATCAATACACTTGGGACTATTAGAAAGTTAATCAAACAAGATTAAAGGAACTAGAGTTGGAACAACAACATACTAAAATACCTTAACTCTGAATCTAAGTCTAAAGAAAATAACAAGTAATTGCAGTGTCAAAACATTTGCATTTTTGAAAGATTTCAAAGTAAAAACTAGAGGTGCTTTGCCACCTGATCCCTAAATAAGAGAACACCAATGAAGAAAAACTCCTATCATTTCACTGGAGGGGCTGATAATAACTTGTGTTACTTCAATGACTTCTTACATGAATCAAAGTTGTATGACCTCTTCGAAATGTTGAAGCATCTCTGCACTCACTGTCCTAACAGATAACAAAAACATGGTGTACTCACCTCCTCCATTCTTGTAGCACAAATACGGAAATCTCCAAACATTGGCCAGGTCCACCGCGAAGCCAATAACCGACAGGAGAAAGTCCATTTTCTTGCCCCAAGTTTCTCGTTCCTCCTCGGTGGCTCCGGGGGGACCTGCGAGGTGGCCAGGGGAGGGGATGATGGAGGAACTGGTGTACTGGACGCCATTCTGGTCCTTCACCAGTATCAGTTCTACCTCCCTTTTCTCCACATTGCACTGCTTCAGCGGGGCCACCGATGAGAGCTTGTGTTCTGGCACAACCTGGATATTCATCTTCTCCCCGGTGCTCTCGCAGCACCCTGCGGGTACTTGCAGAGCTCAGGGTCTGAGTCGATGCGCTTAAGGTCGGAAATCCCGCTGACAGCAGCTGGATAAGCGATAATTCGCCACCCAAACTTGAGTTGATACCCCCGCATACATTTGCTGGAGAAGAGGGAAGAGAAACAGAGTTTGGAGAGGTTTGATGTGTGTGCGTAAAGTTTAAGTACAGAGAGAAATACAGGTGAGGCAAGGGGTTAGGTTACATTATTCATCAAAAAGTAAGACTGTGGTATGAATACATGAAAAGCTTTTGTGGTCTGATGCACAGCAGGTGAAATATACTTCAGAGCTGTTGCCTCTCCATGCGCGCAGAGCATAAAGCGCGCTAAACAGTCAATCAAACAACAACCTACAAAAAAGCATCATAATGAGAAATACAAATCGTTATTTGAATATATCACCGTTGCTAAAGAAAGGCCTGCAGTTGAAAGGATGTCCTCCGTACTTGGTGAATCTAGGGACACTTCTCCATGACCCGATGCTGCTGTTGTCCAGATGCATCTGAAGGAAGACTGCCCATTCTGAAGGAACTATAAGACTCGCCTTCTCCAGCAGGGACGACATAAAAAACCGAGCTTTTAAATCGGTTTCCTATCTCTCTTCCACGTGATATTTTTTAATTGAACCCTTTCTCTCCAGTTTCATGCGGATCTGGTTGGATAGTTTTTTTTTTGTCAGAACTCAAGTTCCCATAAACTTGTGCATCCACTTCAGACTTGCCAGGGCAACAATCATCCGGGACAATAGTGGTATTACCATTAATCCGCGTAAACATAATATGATATTTAATAAATAAATTATTCTTGTTAAAAACACTTTATAAATGATGGACGTGGGCGTCTATTTTAAGAAGAATTTGCCATGTCAAGAGCAGAATAAAAAGACAGATCCTGTCTTTGCTTTTCAGACTGGCACTTGTAGATATATAATTTACCAAGAGACATGAGCATTTTACCTTCAGAATTATCTTAGTGTTTGCATTTCAGGTCCAACTAAACTTTTTGTAATGTTTTCATTTTGACTTTATCTGTTTCTTCTCTGTACTAAACATATTGAATTACGGTTTTCTAAGAAGCCATGAAAGCACTGTGTTCCATGTGTAATTCAATTCTACAGCAGCTTTAGCCAGCGGCAATGATTTTTATTAGATATGGTTGATCAGTTCATCCCATTAAAGTCAATGAATGTCCTCTTTGCTCTCCATTGCTTGTTTTAGAAAACCCTAATAGGGTTGGTTTTGGGCGTTTTGTTTGTGAAGATTGAATAACTGCAGTGATGGTAAAGCAAAGGACCAGGTAACAAGGAAGGATAATGTGTTATTACTGTTGTCTTCTCCTGAATTAGTTATATTCTTTTGCACTTTGTTTTGTATTGCCAGGTATCTGTCAAGAACCACCACGTGTTTTGTGTTAACATCATGATAGTGTTTGATGGGTGGTGTCTTTCTAAACATGTGTGATGGTGTAAAACCGGGTTTTCTTTTCATTTTAAAGTGCAGTAGCATAGTTTGAATTTCCCTTAAAAGTAACTCACAGATGTATACAGATTGAGAGTAAACCATAAAAAGTACCAATAATCATGATGACGTATCAATGAAGAAGAAGTGCAGGACTGCTAAAGGCACACTTTTATCATCATTCACCTGTTACATCCATCATCCTGGATTCCAGCTGCAATTATTGAGACCTCCTTCCTCTTTCTTAAGGTCTGGGTTTGTCCATGTTGACCTGAGGATGAGATGCTAATGAACACACACACACACACACACACACACACACACACACACACACACACACACACACACACACACACATCATAACTTTTTTGTTTTAGATTCGATTGCACTAAGGCTTTATGATATCATTCACAGTAGACATTTGAACATGTAAAATTGCTGATCAACACTTTCATTGAATTTTGGATGATTTAGTCAACTTTGTAACACCTATGGTGTTCCCGGTCAAAGATGACCGCCATAAA